CGGGCCGGTCGGCTCGGTCGGCTCTTTTCCCAAGAACGTCAAAATGGACCTAATCAACACCAAAAGACAAGAAAAATACGCCGAACCACAAAAACACAATACGAGAATAAAAATGCACGAAACACGATAAAATGGACCGGTTGACACTAAAACGAACCTAAGAACACTAAACTCGAGCACATAAAACACACGAAAATAAGCACAAAAATACAATAAACACTCATCTTTTATGCCAAAACGCCGCAGTACCTTATTCAGATATTGCTTCTGAGTCAAACAAAGCTTGCCTCTCACTCTGTCCCTGCTTATCTCCATCTCGAGAATCTTCTTAGCTTCCCCCAAGTCTTTCATCTCAAACTCTTGATTCAACTGAGCCTTCAATTGATCAATCTCCACTTGGCTCTTTGATGCAACCAACATGTCATCCACATACAAGAATAAGTAAATGAAAGATCCATATTGCAGCTTGCGTAAATACACACAATGATCATGCCTGCTTCGCGTGTACTTCTGCCCAATCATAAACTTATCAAACCGTTTGTACCACTGCCTCGGAGATTGCTTCAGTCCGTACAACGATTTGTTCAACTTACAGACCCAATTCTCTTTTCCAAGAATTTTGAATCCTTCTGGCTGAGTCATGTAGATTTCCTCATCTAAATCTCCTTGTAAGAACGCCGTCTTCACGTCAAGTTGAGCTAGCTCTAAATCCAACTGCGCTGCTAAGGCCAACAAAATTCTAATGGAAGAGTGTTTAACAACTGGAGAAAACAATTCATTATAATAAACTCCTTCCTTCTGAGCGTAGCCTTTAGCCACCAACCTTGCCTTGTAACGCACATCATTCTTCTGAGGAATCCATCTTTCTTTGCAAATACCCACTTGCATCCTATCGCCCTTTTGCCTTTTGGTAGTTACGTCACCTTCCAAGTTTGATTCTTCTGGAGAGACAATGTTTCTTCCTCCATAGCCCATTTCCACTTCTCATTTTCTAAACTTCGAATTGCATCTTGAAAAGTGAAAGGTATGTCATCATTAACAATTGGAAGTGCATAAGCCACCATATTCTCCAATCGAGTAGGTTGTTGAATCTCTCGTCTGGGCTTTCTCAATGCAATGGGTAAATCTAATGATTCATGGGTCTGAACTTCATTATCCAATGAATCGTTTGATATTGTTTCGTCGATCATAGCTGGTTGTCTCGTCATCGCATCTATCTCCACCTGCTTTGGTGTCAACTCCACCTGTTCGGCTTGCATCGTCTTTATCATACTTTGTTCATCGAATGTAACATCCCTGCTAAACACAGTTTTGTTCGTCTCAAGACACAAAAGACGATATCCCTTCACGCCAATTGTGATTCCCATGAACAAAGCCTTTTTCGCTCTTGGATCTAATTTTGAATCCTTCACATGATAGAACGTAGGACACCCAAAGACATGTAAAGATCCATAGTCAGCAACAGGTTTCCCCGACCATACCTCCAACGGTGTTTTACCATATTTTGCAGATGACGGCAAACGATTTATAAGGTGTTGCGCGTATGTTACAGCCTCAGCCCAGTACTCCTTGCCCAAACCAGCATTGGACAAAATACATCGAACTTTCTCCACCAATGTTCGATTCATGCGCTCCGCCACCCCATTTTGTTGTGGTGTCCGTCTAACGGTGAAGTGCCTAACAATGCCATTTTTACGACAAATTTCTTGAAAGGGATCGCTTGTATATTCTCCACCATTGTCCGTTCGTAGGACCTTGATCTTTCTTCCAGTATGGTTCTCAATTTGTGTCTTCCATGTAATGAAGACACCAAGCACTTCATCCTTCATCTTCATATTGTATGTTGTTATGTGATTTTTAACAACGATGTAACTTGTGATTAAGTGGATAATTTTGA